CCTGTAATCCCAGCTACTTGGGAGGCTGAGGCAGGAAAATTGCTGGAACCCAGGAGGCAGAGGTTGCAGTGGGTCAAGATCGCGCCACTCGGGTGGATCACCTGAAGTCTGGAGTTCTAAAATTACAAAAATTTAAAAAAGAAAATTCTAAAAATACAAATATTAGCCAGGTGTGGTGGTGGACGCCTGTAATCCCAGCTAGTCAGGAGGCTGACGCAGGAGAATTGCTTGAACCCGGAGGCAGAGGTTGCTGTGAGCCGATATCACGCTATTGCACTCCAGCCTGGGCAACAAGAGCAAAACTTCGTCTCAAAAGAAAGATCGCGCCGCTGCACTCCAGCCTGGCTGGTAGAATGAAACTCTGTCTCCAAAAGAAGAAAAAAAAAAAACACTAGTATATGTTAGTTACTGTAAGCCGTACATATGATATGAAAACATAGAAAAGAAAAAGAAACGATGGCCAGGTATGGTGACTCACAGCCTGTAATCCCAGCACTTGGAGGTCTGAGGTGGGCCAATCATTTGAGGCCAGAGAGTTCGAGACCAGTCTGGCCACAAGGTATACCCCGTTTCTACTAAAAATACCATAAAATTAGCCCAGGCTTGGTGGCGTCATCTGTAATCCCAGCTACTTGCGAGGCTGACCAGAAGAATCGCTTGAACCCAAGAGGCGGAGGCTTCCAATGAGCGCCGAGATCGTGCACTGAACTCCAGCCTGGGCGACAGAGCGAGACTCCGTATCAATAAAAAATAAAAATTAAAAAAAAAAAAAAAAAAAAAAGAGAGTGCCAGGCACAGTGGCTAACGCCTGTAATCCCAGCACTTTGGGAGGCTGAGGCGGGCGGATTGCTTGAGGCCAGGAATTTGAGACCAGCCTGGTCAACATGGTGAAACCCTGTCTGTACTAAAAATTACAAAAGTTAGCTGGGCGTGGTGGCAAGCGCCTGTAATCTCAGCTACTTGGGAGGCTGAGGCAGGAGAATCGCTTGAACCCAGGAGGCAGAGGTGGCAGTGAGCCGAGATTGAGTCACTGCACTCCAGCCTGGGTGACAGAGCAAGACTCCATCTCAAAGAAAAAAAAGAAAAGAGAAAAAGAAACTGAAATGTCTGTTCCTCCACCTACTTTTTTTCCTCTGTATCAACTATGATTACTCTCATAAAAACCTAAGTGGTATTATATTAAACATCTGGTTTTATAGATTGCCTTTCGCAGTTAAAAATATGTTGGACATTCAGGTTGTATTCCGTGCCATATGCAGGTATATGTGAATGAGTTTCTGTAGGTTACATTTATAGAAATAGAATTGCTAAATCAAAGAATATGAACATTTAAAATTGTGAAACATGAATAAGGTGACACACTGCCTTCCAGAAGAATGCCATATTCATGTTTTACAGTTTTCTGGTGGATCCAGTGCAGTCTGGGCCCTTCCTTTTAGGTTGCACTCCAGGATTTGCAGACGAACTCCAAGATCGGGGCGCTCCTGCCTTACTTTGTTTATGTGGTTAGTGGGGTAAGTGACCAGGCTGGGACAGGGAGAGTGTTTTGTAAGGAAGAGATGACCCAGCAGGTGTAGGGCTCATGGCAAGTGCTGTCAGAATGGTGGGCTCCTGCCTGTCCCCTCATGTTCCCCTAAGCTACCCTCTTCTCCCAACAGGTGAAATCTGTAAGTCATGACCTGGAGCAACTGCACCGGCTGCTGCAGGTGGCACGGAGCCTGTTTCGGAATCCACACCTGTGCTTGGGGCCCTATGTCCGCTGTCTGGTGGGCAGTGTCCTCTACTGTGTCCTGGAGCCACTGGCTGCCTCCATCAACCCCCTGAATGACCACTGGACTCTGCGGGATGGCGCTGCCCTCCTGCTCAGCCACATCTTTTGGTAGCCACTGGGCATAGACCTGAGCAAAGGGTGGGATTGCTGCAGAGCCAAGTGGGTTGGGGTAAGGAAATGGGGCAAAGCCTCTGGCTTTGAGGGTCTATGAGAAGATGGGAAACCTTTTCCCTCGGAGCATCCTAGCTGGTGTGCTGTGACACACTGGGATTCTGAAAATGGATTACAAATACGCCAAGGTATTGGTTCTTCAGCCCTCAGGTTCTAGGCCAGTCACCCCTGGCAGCCTTCTTCACTTAACCCCAGCACGCCCGAGTGTGCCGTACAGATGCTGTTCTCTTGGTGTTGTCTTGTGCCCTGTTGGGTGGCACTGTGCCTCATTCCCCTCACTCCCTGAATGGTGCTCCCACAGGACTCATGGGGACCTTGTAAGTGGCCTCTATCAGCATATCCTGCTGTCCCTGCAGAAGATCCTGGCAGATCCTGTGCGGCCGCTCTGCTGTCACTATGGAGCCGTGGTGGGGCTGCATGCTCTTGGCTGGAAGGTGAGCATCCCGGCCTTTCTCACAGACAGAGCTGTAAGAACTCCCAGTTGTGTTAGAAAAATAGTACTTGTGTGTCTTTATCTCCAAAAGGGTGTGTGCCTGCCACTGCCATGCATTGAGTTCTGGCCTTAGGCCAGCCTCAGTGATAGCTTGACTTTCTGTATGTAAATGTCTTATCCTTTCAAAAGTCCTGTATGACAGATACTGATGTCCCCCCATTTTATAAATTCCTGCCCATTCTATATTACCACATTAAGAAATACCTTCGAGGCCGGGCGCGGTGGCTCAAGCCTGTAATCCCAGCACTTTGGGAGGCCGAGATGGGCGGATCACGAGGTCAGGAGATCGAGACCATGCTGGCTAACACGGTGAAACCCCCTCACTACTAAAAATACAAAAAATTAGCCAGGCGTGGTGGCGGGCGCCTGTAGTCCCAGCTACTCGGGAGGCTGAGGCAGGAGAATGGCGTGAACCCAGGAGGCGGAGCTTGCAGTGAGCTGAGATCGCACCACTGCACTCCAGCCTGGGCGACAGAGCGAGACTCCGTCTCAAAAAAAACAAACAAACGAAAAAAAAACAAAGAAATACCTTCAATTCCTGTTGTACTGAGCATTTTACACATGAATAGATACTGAATTTTGTCATGACTTTTAGCATCTATAGAAATTATCAAATGATTATGTGCTTTAAAAATTAGGTGTTGGCGCCGGGCACAGTGGCTCATACCTGTAATCCCAGCACTTTGGGAGGCTGAGGCAGGCACATCACGAGGTCAGGAGATCGAGACCATGCTGGCTAACACGGTGAAACCCCCTCACTACTAAAAATACAAAAATTAGCTGGGCGTGGTAGTGCATCTGTAGTCCCAGCTACTCGAAGACTGAGGCAGGAAAATCGCTTGAACCCAGGAGGCGGAGCTTGCAGTGAGCTGAGATCGCACCACTGCACTCCAGCCTGGGCAACAGAGCGAGACTCTGTATCAAAAAAAAAAAAAAAATACAAGTTAGGTGGGCATGGTGGCACATGCCTGTAATCCCAGCTACTCGGAAGGTTGAGGCGAGAGAATTGCTTGAACCTAGGAGGCAGAGGCTGCAGTGAGCCAAGGTTGTGCCTCTGCACTCCAGCCTGGGCGAGAAGAGCGAAACTCCATCTCAAAAAAATAAAAGATCCTACCTTTTAATACTATCACAGTGGCAACACCTTTTTTTTTTTTTTTTTGAGACAGAGTCTTGCTCTGTCACCCAGAATGGAGTGCAGTGGCGCAATCTCGGCTAACTGCAAGCTCTGCTTCCTGGGTTCAATTCTTCTGCCTCAGCCTCCCAAGTAGCTGGGACTACAGGCACCCGCCACCACACCTGGCTAATTTTTTATATTTTTAGTAGAGATGGGGTTTCACCGTGTTAGCCAGGATGGTCTCGATCTCCTGACCTCGTGATCCACCCGCCTTGGCCTCCCAAAGTGCTGGAATTACAGGCGTGAACCACCACGCCCAGCCACTTTTGAGATTTTTATTAGAATTACATCAAATGTATCAGATTAATTTTGAAGGGGAGTGATATGATAGTAAGTCATCCTGTCCACGAAGGTATCATATCTCCATTTTTTTTTTTTTTTTTTTTTGAGATGGAGTTTCGCTCTTGTTGCTCAGACTGGAGTGCAATGGCGTGATCTCGGCTCACCACAACCTCCACCCTGACCATGTTCAAGCGATTCTCCTGCCTCAGCCTCCCAAGTAGCTGGGATTACAGGCATGTGTCACCATGCCCGGCTAATTTTGTATTTTTAGTAGAGACGGGGTTTCTCCCATCAGTCTGGTCTCGAACTCCCAACCTCAGGGAATCCACCCATCTCAGCCTCCCAAAGTGCTGGGATTACAGGCGTGAGCCACCGCGCCTGGCCTATATCTCCATTTTTTTTTTTTTTAAACAAAAGTTTATTCTTAAATGTATAACAGCTCCAAGACAACCCTTAATTCCAGCTATAGGTGTCAAAGGATGTTATGGCAGGGAATACAGATGTTTAAATATAGATGAAATAAAGGGTCACCATCTCCTCAGGCACAAGGAGCAGCTTACTTTTTGCCAGATTTCTTAATTCTACCTGTGGCCAAGGGCCCCTTCCCTGCGGCCTTCACTTTTAGCTCCTCGAGCCTCTGCTCCTCTTTTTGTTTCTGCTTGAAAGCCTTATCTTCCTCGTCCATCTCCTTGGCCTGCTTCTTTGGCTGTTTCAGTGGCTGCTTCTTGCCAGCTTCCCGGCCGGACACGGCGCCTGCCGCCCCTGCCCCCTATATCTCCATTTTTGTTTAGGTCTTCACAGGCTGCTGGGATGCTTTCATCGTTTCCCTGAGTAGAACCTACACATACTTTAGAAAGTTGTTTCTTTATGGATCGACTAAACTATAGAAAAACAAAGAGTAAGAAAAAGACAAAAAATAGAAACAAGATACAAAGGAAAAAGAAAGAAAGAAAGAGGAGGGCTGGGGGTGTGGTGTTTCATGCCTGTAATCCCAGGACTTTGGGAGACTGAGGTGGGTGGATCATCTGAAGTCAGGAGTTCAAGACCAGCCTGGCCAACATGGTAAAATCCCGTCTCTTCTAAAATACAAAAATTAGCTGGGCATGATGGCACATGCCTGTAATCCCAGCTATTCTGGAGGCTGAGGCATGAGAATCGCTTGAACCCAGGAGGTGGAGGTTTCAGTGAACCGACATCGTGCCATTGCACTCAACTCTGGGCAACGGAGTGAGATGCCATCTCAAAAAGAAAAAGAAATAAAGAGGAAAAAAAATTCTGCCTAGTGCAGTGGCTCATGTCTGTAATCGTAGTGCTTTTGGAGGCTGAGGTGGGAGGATCACTTGAGCCTAAGTGTTCAAGACTACCTTGGGCAACATAGTGAGATCCCATCTCTACAAAAAATTTTAAAAATTAGCCAAGTGAGCCGGGCGTGGTGGCTCACACCTGTAATCCCAGCACTTTGAGAGGCCGAGACAGGGGGATCACCTCAGGTCAGGAGTTCAAGACCAGCCTGGCCTACATGGTGTAATCCCATCTCTACAAAAATACAAAAAATTAGCTGGGCGTGTTGGCAGGCACCTGTAATCCCAGCTACTCAGGAGGCTGAGGCAGGGAGAATGGCTTGAGCCCGGGAAGCGGAGGTTGCTGTGAGCCAAGATCGTGCCACTATACTCCAGCCTGGGCAACAGAGCCAGACTCCGTCTCAAAAAAAAAAGAAAAAAGAAAAAAGCCAAGTGTGTCCAGGCGTGGTCTTGCACCTGCATTCCCAGCACTTTGGGAGGCCAAGGAGGGCAGATCACCTGAGGTCGGGAGTTCGAGACCAGCCTGACCAACATAGAGAAACCCCGTCTATACTAAAAACACAAAAATTCAGCCTGGGCGGCAGAACGAGACTCTGTCTCAAAAAAAAAAAAAAAAAAAAAAGCACAAAAATTAACCGGGGGTGGTGGCGCGTGCCTGTAATCCCAGTTACTTGGGAAGCTGAGGCAAGAGAATTGCTTGAACCTGGGAGGTAGTTGCGGTGAGCCGAGATCACACCATTGCACTGCAGCCTGGGCAACAAGAGTGAAACTGCATCTTAAAAAAACCCCAAAAAACAGAAAAAACCTAGCATGATTGGCATGCACCTTTCGTCCCAGCTACTTCGGAGGCTGTGGTGGGAGGATTGTTTGATCCTGGGAGGTCAAGGCTGAAGTAAGCCAGATTGCTGCTCTCCATCCAGCCTGGGTGACGGAGTGAGACTGTCTCAAAAAAAACCCAAACAAACAACAAAAAAACCCCACAAACTATTCCTAGATTCTTGCTGTCCTTCGATGCTGTTGTAATGGGGTCTTTATGGTGTTAGTTTCTTGCTCGTGTATAGAAATGTAATTCACTTTTACATTCCTATCTTCCTAAAGTATCCAGTTACTTTGCTAAGCACTGGGGATACATACAGGGTATAAAGACAGATAATAGTGACCCTGCTATCACTGTCATATGGGTGAAGGGCTAAGAGGGCATATGTAATGCTTATTGTTAGCAACATAAATTTACAGTTTGCAAACTGCCACCCTATAGAATCAGCAGGCAAGTACTGTCCAGCTGCTTTCTTAAACTATCATTGCTAATTATAGATTCTTTGGAGGTTTTAATATAGATGATCATATCATATCATGTATAAATAATGACAGCTTTATTTCCTTTTGTTGTTTTTTTTTTTGAGAGGAGTCTGCCTCTGTCGCCCGGCTGGAGTGCAGTGGGCCGATCCTCGGCTCACTGGCAAGGCTCCACTCCGGGGGGGGGGCGGTGGCCATGTCCTCCCCTCAGCCTCGCCGAGTAGCTGACTAAGGCGCGAGCTGTACACGCTTGGCTAATTTTTATTTTAGTAGGAGGTGGCCGGGGTTCTGGGGGGTTTCACCGTGTTAGCCAGGGATTGGTCTCGATCTCGCTGACGCTCGTGATCCGCCAGCCTTGGCTCCGAAAGTTTGCTGCGATTTACAGCATTGAGCCATCGTGCAGGCTTTTTTTTTTGTTTTTGAGACGTGAGTCTTGCTTCTGTCGCCTGCTTCGGAGTGGCGTTGGAACACGATCTCGGGCTTCACTGGCAACCCTCGTTCCCATGTTCAAGCGATTCTCCTGCCTAGCATCCCAAGTAACTGGGATTAAGGCATTTGCCACCACTTCCCGGGCTTAATTTGTATTTAGTAGGAGGAGGCTTTCTCCATGGCTGTCAGGTGCTTGGTCTGAACCCCGAACCTCAGGCGATCGCGCTGCTCGGCTCCCAAAGTGCTGGGATACAGGTGTAAGCCACCGCACCTTGGGCATGGCCTTTTTATTTGTGGATGTTAGATTACTAGTTAGTATCACATGGAGATGACATCTTGTCTCCCTTTCAATTATAAAGAGGCTAGGGGCGGGCGCGGTGCTCAATTTGTAATCAGCTGGCCGAGGCGGCGGAATCACGATGTCAGGAGATCGAGACCGAGGTCCTGGCTGACACGGTGAAACCCCCGGTTCTTACCTAATACAAAAAAACTAGCGGCTAGGGTGGCGGCGCCCTGGTAGTCCCAGCTACTTGCGGCAGGCTGAGGCAGGAGAATGGCATGAACCCTGGGAGCGGAGCTTGCAGTGAGCTGAGATCGCCACTGCACTCCACCTGGGCAGCAGAGCGAGCTCCGTCTCAAAAAAAAAAAAAAAAAAAAAAAACAAGATGTGCTAATACCTTTTCCATTTACAGCTGAGTTTTACTGTGTGTGTAACAGGTAAGCCTACTCTTTTTTTTTTTTTTTTTTTTTTTGAGACGGACGTCATTTACTGTGTTCCCAGGCGCTGGAGTGCAGTGGGCGCGATCTCGGCCTCACTGCAAGCTCCGCCTTCCCGGGTTCATTGCCATTCTCCAGCCTCAGCCTCCAAGTAGCTGGGACCTAAAGGAGCCGGCTACCGACGCCGGCTAGTGTTTGTATTTTTTAGATAGAGGCCGGGTTTCCCCATGTTAGCCAGGAAGTTCGATCTCCTGACCCTTGTTGTGACGTCACTGGGCCTCGGCCTCCCAAAGTGCTGGGATTACAGGCTTGAGCCACTGCGCCCGGCCCAGGTAGCTACTCTTTCTCAGATTAAGAAAATTATGGCCAGGGTTGGCTGGGCACAGTGGGTGGTTCACTCACGCCTGTAATCCCAGCACTTTGGGAGGCTGAGGCGGGCGGATCACCTGAGGTTGGGAGTTTGAGACCAGCCTAACCAACATGGAGAAACCCTGTCTCTGCTAAAAATACAAAATTAGCTGGGCAAGGTGGCCATGCCTGTAATCCCAGCTACTCTGGAGGCTGAGGCAGGAGAATTGCTTGAACCCAGGAAGGTGGAGGTTGTGGTGAGCCAAGATCGCGCCATTGCAGTCCAGCCTGGGCAATAAGAGCGAAACTCCATCTCAAGAAAAAGAAAAAAGGAAAATTATGGACAGGGTCAGTGGATCACACCTATAATCCCAGTACTTTGGGATGCCGAGGTGGGTGGATTGCTTGAGCCCAGGAGTTTAAGACCAGCTTGGGCAACATGGTGAATAAAATTAAGAATATAGGCCTGGCACTGTGGCTCACGTCTGTAATCCCAGCACTTTGGGACGCTGAGGCGGGTGGATCATGAGGTCAGGAGATCGGGACCATCCTGGCTGGTACCAGGATGAGTACCATCCCCTTCCAGCCTCCCTTCCCTGCATGAGCTTAGCAGCCAAGCAGGCTTACTTTGGAATATTTGATGGGCCCAGGTTCCTCAAATTTTTTGCCTATCTTAGTCCTTGGCTCTTATAGGTGGCTGTAGAGTGACTGCTGAAGATGAAGGCCCAGGCAGCAGCCCTGCCTCTATAAAAAAGGAAATTAGTGGGGTGTGGTGGCATATACCTGTAGTCCCAGCTACTTGGGAGGCTGAGGTGGGAGGATTGCTTGAGCCCATGTTGTTGAGGCTGCAGTGAGCCATGATCATTCCACTACACTCCAGCCTGGGTGACAGAGCTAGACCCTGTCACACACAGAAAAAAAAAAAAATATATATATATACACACACATACACATACACATACATGTGTGTATATATATACGTGTGTGTATATATATACGTATATATATACACATATATATACACACGTGTGTGTGTATATATACGTGTGTGTCGTATGTTATGATACTCTTCAATTTTTTTTAAGGGTTTTTTTTTTTTTGCACGATCGGAGTCCTTGCTCTGTCACCCAGGCCTGGGAGTGCAGTGGCCAGCTCTCGCTCACTGTAAGCTCTGCCTCCGGGCTTCACGGGCATTCTCCGCCTCGCCTCCTGAGCAGTAGCTGGGAACTA